CTATCTTAATAATAAATTTAGTATCCAGGATCTCGGGCCTTTAAAATATTTTCTTGGTATTGACGTGACCCGTACATCTGATGGCATGGTTATTAGTCAGAGAAAATACACTTTACACATTTTAGCTGATAGCGGGTTTCAAGGATGTCGACCAAGCTCCTTTCCAATGGAGCAAAATGCTAAACTAGATGGTGCTACTGATTCCCCATTTGTCGGTGCAGGGCAATACCGACGCCTAATTGGCCGCCTTTTATATCTACATGTGACTCGATGAGACATAACATTTGCTGTAAATACACTCGATCAGTTTGTTTCTTCTCCCAGACGGCAACATTTCGATGCTGCACAACCTGTTATTCGTTATCTCAAATATACTCCAGGTCAAGGTATTTTTCTTCCGTCTAAAGGAGATTTAACCTTGACTGCTTTTTGTGATTATATGACTGGCTTGGTTGTCCACTCACTCGACAATCCAAGACATGTTATTTCATAACTTTGGGAGGGGCTCCTATCCCTTGGAAGAAAAAGAAGTAATCTGTGGTTTCTCGTTCCTCTACAGAAGCTGAATATCGGACTATGGCCACCACAGTCAGTGAACTTTTATGGTTACGTGGGCTGCTACAAGACCTTGAAGCTTCTCAAACCGGTGCAATGTCTCCTTATTGTGATAATCAAGCTACTTGACACATAGATAGCAAATCCCGTTTTTCATGAACGAACCAAACATGTAGAAATAGATTGTTATTTCGTCCGCGAGAGAGTAGAGTCTGGTGACGTCAAGCCACTTCCCATAACCTCAAGTTGCAGTTATTTTTACCAAACCGCTTGGCATGGATTGTTTTCGGTTTTTACTTGGCAAGATGAGCGTTTGTAACCTTCACGCTCCAACTTGAGGGGGGAGTAAGGAAATAATTGTTTTTTTGGGTTATCCCATTATATTTAGTAGATAATTATTTCCTTGTATTTATCTTTTCTTGTTTTTAGCCTAACAAACTCCAGTTGTAATTGAGATCTATTTATATCCCTTTTCCTTCGATGAATGTAAGTAATGTGACAAAAGTTGTTTTCTTCTTATTCTTTGTTTTCTTCAAAACATAAAACTTGTGTTAGTTGAAAAGTTCATTTTCCCACTTCCCGTCCAACCGGTTCGAACCGGTTTTTAAAACATTGTGTTAGTCCCTTTTTTAGCTTTGTCAAATAGGCTACATCAATTTTCATTTGCTAACTTAAATGATATTTGAGAGCATATAAATAATTTTACCTAAAGCAGACGTAATATATATAACTATTCATGCAGCTACGTGTTAATAATACATGCAAGAACCTTGTTTTTATGATATTTTTAACCATATGATGATATGAAGCTATTGGTACGCAACTAATATAATGTTAGATTCCAATGCATGCGATGATGCCACATTATTAATTAATTGAAACCACTGCTAATTAAAATGTATAACTTAGCGATAGTATAATACAAATTTTAAGAGACGGGAAACGATAAAGTAATAACTTTCAGCATCAAATTGTTTATAAGGTCGGTGTGATTTTATGCGTCGTGAAAAAAGTATGGTCTTATCCATTCAAATAATAATCAAGTCGGCTAGTTTAACTTTTTTTTTCTTTTTTCTTTTTTCTTTCTTTCTTTCTAAATAATAAAAAAATTATGAATCTTTTTTGAAGAAAATGGGAACAAAATTAATAATCATGTTGGCTTTTTACATACCATTTATTTCAAAACATACATCGTAGCTTTATTTTAAAGTTTTCTCGAAATCGTGATGATTTTCTTTGCAATATATAGTCAAATAATATTTCATTAAGTATCTAAGATATAAGATTTTTCTGAATATAGTGATATATAATTTTTGGGCAAGGAGATGTAGCCTAACAAAGTTTGTTTTCTAAATATTGCATTTGGTATTTTTATTAATAACAATAAATATTTATTAAAAACATGTGTATTTACAAAGGGTAATTATTTGTAATAATAATATAGGCAAATATTGTAATAATAATATAGGCAAATACCATAAAAGCCTTAATTATTACACATTTAATTTACAAATGCTTTATATTTCATTTTTCGTTAACCGTGGCCTCAGTAATTATGCTGAGTTATCAATTAAAACCTAATAGTCGGTTAAAAAACGGTAACCTTTCTCAGTCGGTCACGTCATTCATTGAAACAACATCCATCACCTTTCTCTTCATAACTGTTCATTTTTCAGAATTGTCACCCTAAAAAAGGGTTTCATGCTTATAAACGTTGGGTAAAGAGATTTGAAAAGGGATTGTGAAAATCACCAATCGTTGAGCTCGAGAATTCGTCGTTGAGAGGCACTGCATGTACAAGGTAAGTAGATGCTAAGATGAAATTGAAGTCTAAGTGGGTTTTTTCCTCATGTAATGATAAGTAACAAGTTTGTTTTTGCACATTAAACAGATGGATTCTACTTCCAGTACAAAGAAACACAAAAACAAAGGCCCTGAAAATGTATACGTTGAAGACTCAGACTCAGATGATGAAGGTTTTGACTTCAGTTTCTTGGATTTTTCACAAGAAACCTTTAAACCCCCATCCAACCTTTGTACTGACCATTTTCTTAACTTATTTTGTGAAGAAAATATGTTAAAGATGGGTACAGATGGGATGGGGGTGATCAAAATCACCTGGTGTCGAGGAGGCTAAACATGGCCATATACTAGAGGTAAATGATGAAGAAGTTGATGTTGAGGTATAGGTTCCATGATCCAAACCAACTTTGGAAAGAAATAATGCCTGAATTGGGTAAGTGTTATGAGTCCCCTGCTCAACTAAGGTTTGCATTAACAAACTATGCAGTCCATAATGGATACCAAATTTACTTTGAGAAGAGTGATAAAGTTAGGGTTATTGCTAGGTGTGACAACAATACTAATGATCGAAAACCATGTACTTTTAGGGAAGCATTTGGTTGGAAGTATAATGAAAGGACATTCCGAATTAAATCCATTGTTAAGACTCATCTTTGTGCTAGGAATTACAACTTTGGCAGCTTACTTACTTCTAACTTGTTAGCCAAACACTACTTGCAATTAGGAAGCCCAAGATGACATTGGATGATATGAAAGAAAATGTTTTAAGGAGGTTTTTAGTGAATGTATCCAAGGGGAAATATAAAAGAGCAAGGTCAAAAGCTATAGAGATGATAGAAGTAAGGTTTGAGGAACACTATGGTAGGGTTTGGGACTATGCTGATAGAATCCTCAGGGTTTGGGACAATACAAATGAAATCTTCAGGACTGTGAGATGCGGAAAATGCCAAGAGCTTGGGCATAACAAGATTTCTTGCAAGAATGATGAAGGTCCTAAAGATCCTATTCAAAAAAGGAAGATTGGAAGACCAAGGAAAGATGGATGTGGTCAACCATATTTTGACCAATTCCCACCTAAAAGGACCGGAACAGGGATGGATGGTGAAGGGACAAATAAGAACAATGTTCAACATGAAGATATTCAACCTACTCAAAATCTAAAAGAGAATGTGGCTAATGAAACTGCTCAAAGTGATGATGAAGATGTTCAACATAATCAAAGGATCTTAGTTACTCTAAAGAAAAGGATAAAGATGAAGACAAGGAGGGGGCAAAAGAAGTGGGACAAGGGAGGAGACTGTGTTTAAGGTTAATGAGACTGAGGTGGGAAGAGGGCCATGAGACGTGTCCCTTACTTATGAAGAATTCCTTAATGACATCTTAATGAATACACCTAATGTTTAGGAGAAAGATCTTGAGGTTAAGGAAAAGATAACTAAGGTTGAGGAGAAGGTGAATGAGGTTATGGTGAAGGAGCCTGAGGTTGAGGAGAACATGACTGAGGTTGAGGATAAGGAGAATGATGTTGTGGATATGGATCCTAAGCTTAAGGTGAAAGGGACTGAGGTTAAGTACATGGAGACTGATATCCAATAGAATGAGAATGATGGTGAGGAGATGGAGACTGATGCCCAACACAAGGAGACTAAGGTTGAGGACAATAATGATGATGTGGACCTGATAAGAGACATGGTTGAATCTAGATATACACAAGCTGAAATTGATTTAACCATGCAAAAGTTATGTAATTTACTTGTCACTATTTATATCTCATTGTTATTCATATCATGACACTTATTTTCTTACAAGTGAGAATGGAGAGACATAACATGATGGATAAACAGGCTCCTGTTTCATTGGTAAATAGGAGGAAGCCTATTGAAAGAATCCTAAAGATAAAGATAAACAAGAGTGAACTTGTTGCTTATGCTTTTAGGAAGGGCAGGATCTGGTGTTTGGATTAGCAAGTTAGCATAATATAGGGGTAAAATGGGTTTTAGTATTTAGTATGCCCTTTTTGTTCACATATCTTTTGGTAGCATGTTTCATAGTGTTTGGGTTAACATGTTTCATGGTGTAGGGGTAAATGAGCATTAGTATTTACTCTACCCTTTTTGAACACATATCTTTTGGTAACAGGTTTCCAATTCATGTCCAATAAGTTTGGCCGAATTGGAACCTTGGTTCTAATTATTATTACCCATTGTAGTTATTTTGGTACCTTTGTGAGAGTACATTGTCTTTTTGGGTTCTTAATGTTGACTAATGATAATATCACTTCATATTACCTTTGTTTGAAAGTACATTGTCTTTTTAAAGTTCATTTCCATTAGACTGTTGTTAATTACACTTGATATTATCTTGATTGTTGTTAATTTTTATTTATATTGTAAAGTAATTTTCCACATCAGTTCATTGACATTGGAAAGCGCATTTCCATATCAAATCATTAGCATTGAAACATATTTGGGCAAAATGTGAAAATAATAACAATCATATTCATTTTGAAATACACTATTACAAGATCACCACCACCAGAAAAAGCACAATCATGATCACCACCAACTCCAAAAGTTTCAACATTATTTTCTGACATTCTTTAGCTTCATTTGCCTATTCCAACTAAACATACAACTTCCACATGGTATCCTTGTAGTGATTGTTTTGTAGTGGTGGATCAAGCCACAAAAATCACATTTTTTTTGTTCTGCACATTATGAAAATGGATTTGTCTTAGTTCAATAGAAACAAAATCACAAAAGCATGCCACTTTTATCAGAAAGTTAAGGTACCCTCAGAATTTTCTGCCTGAATTTTTATCTGTTGTGGAGATCGAGAATGTAACGCCTGGTTCCTGGTATGCACTTAATTTATTTATTTATTCATTTTGGAAGGGCTACTCGACGAGTTGGTGGCCCTAACTCGTCGATTAGAAGGCAGAATATGCACGGGTTTTAAGTGAGCTACTCGACGAGTCGAAGTCTTGACTCGACGAGTAGGACAGTCTGGATGAAAACCTAATCTTTAGGTATTGCACCCTATTTAAGCATCATATCTGGCCTCCACCCCAGCCTCCATCACCTCCAAACCCTAATCTCGAAACCCTAATCAACCTTGAGTGATCTTGAGCTATTTCATTGCCATTTTTGTGATTTAAAGCTACAAGAAGGAAGCAAAGGCTTGGAGTTGCAGAAGGAAGGTTGAAGATCCAGAGCTAAGGACTCATTTTTGACTTGATAGAGGCATAAAGCTTATACCTTGGCTTCTATTCACTTAGATCTTCTTTTGAGCTTGTATGTTGTCATTTTTGGGCCATTTTCAAGGTCATTCCGAAATTTGAACTCTTGGGGATGAAAGGACTTCAGATCTGGGCACTCTTGAGCTTTATAAGCTCAAAGCTGCCACCTTTATTCAGCCATGGCCCTATTCCATGACTTAGACCTTCATTTTAACTTGTAATGGGTGTTTTAGCTTCATAACACCATGCATACACGTAAAGTTAGCAACTTTACGTGTAATGCTAGTCTAAGGAGTCCAGATCTATGAGTTAGAAGCATTGAAATGGATTAGAATCGACTGAATGGATTTGTCATATGGAGGAATCGACTAGTTATTCTTGGACTCGGCGAGTCGGGTCATGAACCCCTAACCCCTTTTCTGGTTTTGAGTGAAATAATTGAGTCTAGGAGATGACTAAGTGGGTTGGACAAGACTAGGAATCGAAAGCTGAAGAACTCGACGAGTCCAAGGAGGGATTCGACGAGTTAAAGTTGTTGTGTCCCGATTATATAATAGGAAGAACTCGACGAGTCTGGGAAGAGACTCGACGAGCTGACTCGGTTGACCACGAGTCTGAGTAGTACATGAACTCGCCGAGTTGGAAGATAACTCGACGAGTTGGGGTTGACTGAGAGTTGACATTGACTTTGACTTTGACCTGGATGTTGACTTTAACCAAGGGTAAAATGTTCATTTTACCCTGAGAGGGATTATCAGATTTTGATTAAGTGTATTATGTAGTTGATAGCCGGGGATTCGCCGGAGCAGTAGTCAGAGATTTTTCACTCGAGTTTCAGCAGTCAGCCTTACGAGGTGAATTTTCTCCAGTAGGAACGGGTTTGAGGTCACAATGCCGACTCGTTTAGATGTTAGTAGTTACGGGCTACGACCCGATGCCGGGAATGGCCCAATGTAGGTTATATGCTTTCTGGATTACGATCCGATGTCGAGGCAGTCCTGAGGAATGTTTATGTATGCTTGATCTTTTTGTGATTCTTGCATGTTATGTGTTTTGTGTCCCGGGCTTCGGTCCGATGTCGGGGCAAGCCCGATGTATGTTAGTCTATATGTTATGTGTTAGGTATTCCGGAGTCCGATCCGATGTCGGGGCAAGCTCGATGAATGTTTAGATGCTCATGTTATATGCCTATGTTATTTGTTATGCTATGTTGTATGTATGTCGGGGCAAGCCCGATGCCGAGGCAAGCTCGATATCGGACGGGGTCCGATGCCCGATGCGGTCGGATGCCGGGAGGGGCCCGATGTCGGGTTCATCCCGATGTAGCTGGGCGGTGTCCCAAGGTTATGTTATATGTTATGTGTATGGTATGTGGTAGTTTGGGGAGACTCGCTAAGCTTCGTGCTTACAGTTTTCAGTTTTGGTTTCAGGTACTTCCACTAGCAGCAAGGGGAAGGGTTCGGGATGATCGCATGGCACACACCACAGTTTTAGCCTGTGATTGTTTAGACTCTAATATTTTCTCATATAATTTGATACAGTTTTTGACATGATGTTTGAGATACATGATTCTTGATTTTCTCTATGATAATGGGTGATTTATGGTTTTACTAACGATTTTAAAAAGAAATTTTCGGTCTGTATTTTTGGTATGTTTCAGAGAAAGTGGAAAGTTCATCACAATCACACCTAAGGTATTCATACCACCGATTCCTTGCTGCCTATGCCTTATAGTACCCAAAAATTTGAAGAGGATACCATAGTTTACCAGTGGGAGAGGGAAGGAAGAGCGTGACCTACTTGTTAAAGATGATAACACTTCATCATTCATAAGTTGTGTTTGAAAGCTTAATGACTTGCTTAAACCGGTGAAACCAGCTAACAGGGCTAAGCCCAATACTCATACAAAAAAATGGCCATATGTGACAACACAAATTTTTTTTCCTTGTAAGTCCAGCTATTAAATTCAACCGAGAGTCAGACTTGTTTCTGCTATCTTTAGCATTGTTTAGAGTCCGTTTAAGGGTTCAAAGCTCAGTACATTCAAGAATTGGGTATAGGATTGAGTTTCTTAGGTTCTTCGCGTTAAAATCGAGCCGAACACTCCATCCAAGGGAGTGTACGGCCGTACACATGAGTGTACGGCCGTACACATGGGTGTACGGATGGCCGTACACCCATGTTGACCGTACACCCCCCATATGTAGAGTATCCTTCATTTTCTTGTCATTTCTCTCAATTCCAAGGCTAGAAAATCGATTTCTCTCTCAACTATCATCGAGTTCTTCATCCTAGATCATCAAAAACGTAAGTGTTTCTTCCATCTTTGAGTTGTTATCCTTCTTAATCATGTATCACCCTTTGATTTCATCCATGGAAATCAACTTTTTGGGTAGATCTTCAAGATCTTCATCTTTCACCAAGAACACACACTTGTTCTTGGTGGCTGTGAACCCTCTTCAAGCCTCCATAACGTAAGTATCCTTTCCTTATGCTTAGTATACGTTAAGAAACCTTGTTAAACACCCTAGAATCGACCATTTTGCATGAACAAAAGGAGTGTACGGCCGTACACCCTTGTATGTCCGTACACACCTCAAAACACCCCAAAAGGCCCTCCAAAATGAGAACCTAGTTCATATTCTTGTTGAGCATTAGTCCCTCAAGCTTCCCCATGGTTCAAACACCCTTTTGTGCATAATTTACCATGAGGTGTATAGCTGTACACGCAATGGCCATACACCCATGGCCGTACACTCCATATTGTGGTCGTACACACCCCTTTGATGAATCACATGTGATTATAACACTTAGTTCAAGTGTTTCTTAGTCCCTAAGGGTGTTTCCTAGAATGTTAGTTGCTTTTAAACACTAAATTCATGCCAATATATGCCATTATGTCATTTAGGACTCGTTTGTATCTCGAGACTTCATTTGTGGAACTTATCATCCTTACACGAATCTGCAATTGAATCACCCACATATGGTGAGTTCATACCCCTATAATCAATCTTTTAACTGTTTTAAATGCTTTTAAGGGGGGAATACAAGTTGAACACAATGATAATTGTGTAAATGTTTTGTTATAAACATCCTTTTAAAGGATTGCTTATGTTTTCATGAGCGATCAAAACATTTCAAAAACTCTTTTTAAGTTATGTTACTTTACAGCTTATAAAACTCCGTTTTTAAAGTACAATCATAACTTAGTAGATAAATGAGTCTTTTCTTCAAGTCAATAGCAGTTCAAAGTAAAGATACTAGTAAACTATAACAGGTATAGTTTAGGGGTTCAGTTAACACTAGAATATAGAGAACATACTATAAAGAGAAACAGGGAGGTAGATACAATACACGA